AGTAAAACAACTAGAATATCACAATTACAATTAAATCTAGTGTGGAAAGTTAAAACTAATAGCACTATTTGGACAATACAATATAAAACAGGCTACAGATTGTCAACAACTGAAGGTAGATCACTACACTAGGGACTCAGTATCAAGACCAGACGAAGGACTGTTTTTTCCACCCCGACATTTAGGCCATTGGCTTTTTAAAGAAGGAACAAGGCTGGGTGGAGGCATGTGTTCTTCAGCTAAGAAACGGTGCCAGACCTCCACGTAGGAAGAGAAGATGAGTTGCACTTAACCTTGGAAATGTACAAGAGACTCAGTATCACATGTAACTGGTAATTAAGTGTGAAAGATGTGCTGTGAAATATTGATGTATAATATGTGATATGATGCTGATGTTGTATTAAGTTGTATAAATGGATAACTTGTATATATATAATTAATAAATACAGACAAACATTGAATCAAACGTAGTAGCATTTTAGCCCATTTGGCCCCGGCTACTATTTCACAGGGAACCAAATAAGGGATTAAAGGGGATTATCACACCCCAGTGATTTCTTCTACTGAAACAATAGGAGTTGGGTAAGTGGGAAGACCCCAACAAATGTATTGTCCCCAGTTTAACGTGCTTTCTGGGCTGCCAATCTCCATTTACAGAACAGTTTTAGCTAGGGCTGAAACGGTATACCGCGGTATTAGTAGAACCGCGGTATTTTGCCTTCGGTTCGGTATACCGTAATGCAATCCCAAAATTCGGTATTTTCGGTTATCGTACCGTTCCTTCTGTCCAGGGGTCGGTGGGATAACCTAGTGGTCTCTCCACATGGGTACAATGTGTGAAGCCCATTTCTGGTCTTCCCCGCCCTGATATTGCTGTAATATTGCTAAAAGCGGCGTAACACTAAACTCACTCACTCCTTCTGTCAAGTCATAAAATGACAGTTTTGTTCTTTCAAAATAACAAAGATTATGGCTATTATTTTCCCCATGTTATTAAACATTGTCAGGTTTGGCTCTTGTTGTCAATTTTCTGCATTGTGATCATATCTGATATACCGACCCGAAACAACCCGAACCGAGAGCCTTGTACCGCAATATGTACCGTGGCAAGAGCGTACCGTTTCACCCTTAGTTTTAGCACAACCGCCACAATTATCAGTGAAAGGAATGTACGGGCGTACCTTGTATAACAGATGCTGTGCGTCACGGGCTACACTGAAATGTAATAGCTAACGTCTAAACTCACACTCCAAACTTTTCTAAATGGAGATCACTATGACCATGCTTCCAGTATTAAGTCTTACCCATCATGTAGCAAACAAAACCGATCTTATAAAATGTGTTATTGTTGATTTGACTGACTGACTGAGTTTGGTATTACGCCGCTATTAGCAATATTCCAGCAACATCACAGCGGGGGACACCAGAAATGGGCTTCACACAATGTACCAATGTGGGGATTCAAACCCGGGTCTTCGGCGTGACGAGCCAACGCTTTAACCATTAGGCTACCCCACCGCCCTTGTTGATTTGAACTAATCAATTTACACTTTGAATGTTCTGACGAAAACAGCTTATAAAAATATGCTCAAAAACATATCATTCATATTTTAGTTTTAGCGAAATGGAAAAATTTAACTGACAAAACTGTTGTGTTTTTTTCATTACATAAACCCTTCAGCAAACATACATGAATGCTGCGGAAGAAACGAAAATATAAACTCGACAATTGGATTTGACCAAAACATTACAAAAGTTACCAGAACGTTACTAGGCTTAGGGCATTGGGTAGCTTGTGGTTAAAGTGTTCGCTCTTCACGTGGATTCCAGGGTTCGATTCCCGACTGTGGGTAGAATATATTGAGTCCGTGTGTGTTGTCTCCTGTCTTGATGTAGCTGTAATATTGCTAAAAGCGGCGTAAAACCACATCCAACCAAGAAGACCTAATGCACAGTTATCTAACCGTATCAAATACTAGTACATGGCCGCCGATCGCGAAAGCCGGTCCTCGTTAAGTCAGCTAACAATCAGCTTCTGACAACCTTACTGACGTCATCCCCTCTGTCTGTGCACAGATTGTTATCCTATCTGGCTTCACCTATTTGGGATCCTATTTGGTTTATCCAGTCTACCGATTTGTGATATATTTTCAGACTGTGTGCCAAAACCTGGTCTTTAACATTTTATCTAAAAAATATAATTGCCTATACTCTTAATTCTTGTTTGTATTTTCATATTTGTTATAGTTCATGCACCTTTTATCTGTATTTTAACTGCTCTTGTATGGAACGTCTCTCATAACCCTGTATAGGGTGGCTTGTTACATGTTAATATCTTTACATACGATATGTATTTTATATATAAATATCTGGGTTTTTTTATAAATATGTATAAATCACTGTAATGAGATGAGACTATAATAATTATCTGTCTATCTGTAACGTTAATCTGCTGCCGATCACATACCAAAACATCGCTACATCCAGAGCTTGTTATGTCTCGTAATTAATCTCCAACATTCAGATAGCTACAGAGTTATTTTTGTTTGGTCTGTAGCAATACTGATGTCTATATATATTTGCCTGGTAGCCGGATCAAGTGCATGCGATTTTAGTACTAAATTCTAATCTGATAATTTTGTTTAACATATTCACAGACTGTCTGTTTAATTAGTTTATACACCCGTGTACACTGTAGTGTTTGCGAAGACAACAAGGTGCTTGTTAATTGGTCTACAGTAACGGTTCTGCTTCAAAGACCACTCCTATTGTTTAATGAACTGTTGGACACAATCTTCAGAGCGTGTTTTCGCACGCATTTTATCACATTGTTTCACTTCCTCTTTATTGCTATAAAAACCCTTTATCTTTGTGAATGCCGCCGGCGTCTTGCCGAGTTGGTATGGAAACATTACGTCACTGGTATGATCGCCGTCAATCTTCAGTTACACAATCAGATTCACTGGAGGCGCATTTTGCGACCATATGTAACGGGTGATGTCACTGCAGATCAAATTTATTACTAATGTGTAATGTCAGGATTTATCTTTGTTTACGTAATAAATTCTTTTTAATTGGTGTACTCACATGGGTACAATGAGTGAAGCCCATTTCTGGTGCCCCCCGCCGTGATGTTGCTGGAATATTGCTAAAAGCGGCGTAAAACCAAACTCAGTCAGTCAGTTTAATTGGTGTAAGGAAGTCACTGATCATTAAATCCTTTTCCCTGCTCTGCTGTTCTGTTGTCATGATAATTATGAAAACAAACCTTGCAATGATGATCATCATCATCAGGACGACGGAGACGATAATACCGAGAACTAAAATTTTATATATAAAATCACCATCCTTATTTTGCAAGGCTTGTTTTCATAATATATCGCCATGATGTAATTCATTGTGTTAGCAATAATCATAATAATACATCTGTACCACCATCCTTTTTATTGCAACAAAACAGAAAATGGTAGCAACACAGAATGTAACAGGTAATCGGAAAAAAAGCATCAGGAAAAAAAGAATAAATTTTTGCTAGGAAAAAAAGAAACAGGAAAACATAAATCAGTTCACACATGTATTGGTGGTATAATGAACCAATATCATAACCAATATAATCTATATATATAATATAATACATGTATAATCATATATCAATTTGCAGAATGTGTTCAAGGAATGTTTGTAATAGCACATAGTTACTTCAGTCTACAAAAGTCTTATATTCTGTCCAACGCCAGTTAAAAAGTGTTCCATTGTAATGTCATCGTTTGCCCAACGGCGGCACAAGTTCTGGAGGCGTTTGTTGACTGTGATGAACTTAGACTTGACTCGAACTGTTGGCTGGGTTCCAATGGATAACTGGTTCATATACGTGTCAACCAAGGCTTGGTCTTTCTGGAACCATACCAGATATGCCTGTATATAACAAGTAATGCCTGTATATAACAAGTAATGCCTGTATAAAACAAGTAATGTCTGTATATAACAAGTAATGCCTGTATATAACAAGTAATGCCTGTATATAACAAGTAATGCCTGTATATAACAAGTAATCCCTGTATATAACAAGTAATGCCTGTATATAACAAGTAATGCCTGTATATAACAAGTAATGCCTGTATATAACAAGTAATGCCTGCATATAACAAGTAATTACTGTATATAACAAGTAATTACATAATAACGATATCCGTGAAGATCCGGGTTAGAATTGGTCTTCAAGAACCCATGCTTGTCGTAAGAGATGACTAACAGGATCGGGTGGTCAGGAATCGCTGACTTGGTTGGCACATGTCATCGTTTCCCAGCTGCATATATCAATGCTCATGCTATTGATCACTGGATTGCCTGGTCCAGACTCAATTATTAACAGACCGACGTCATATAGCTGGAATATTGCTGAGTGCGGCGTTAGACAACAAATAAACATGACGATATGTACAGTTATAGTAATGATAATAGTATTCATGCTGATGATAATGAAGGTGTTGATAGTATGAAAATGGTTGTGCGATGACTACGGTGATGATGTTGGTGATGATTATGAGTCATCCCTATCCTCAACATTATATGACTAACGGCTGGTGGCAATTAAATAAAGATAACCTATTATATAGACGATGTTCATTTTAAAAATACCACACATCATAACGTTTTAATTTAGATATTCCGATCGAACTATTTATAGTGACGTATAGTATAATACTATTACAACAAGAACAACATAAATTCAGCTGTTAACTCACTCTAACTGCCACTTATGTACATTCATACCCAAACAGTATCAACTTACAAATCGGAAAAATCAATAGGGTTCATTAAAAACCTGATTTCACAAAGGTATGGTAATACCAACGGAATTACCAGTTGAGAGTACTGTACGCCCAGTGATTACAAACCGGCAGTGTGATAAGAGACAACCCTCGACTGTGATTGGCCGTTACGTGACCCCCACTAGCGAATCGTGTTCAGCGCCTGGGTCATAGCTGTTCCGGGTTTTACGTCGGTGTGGTCCGGTAAGCGAGACGACCGAACCAGCTGTTGCGACGAAGGTTGACCGAGAATATGTCTGTTCAGCAAAAGCTCGCATTTAATGAATCAAAAGGTAGGCTAACTCTTAGTTTTGATGAATGTTTGGATTTGAATCTGTTATATCTTTTAACAACCTTCATTGTTTCATTTACTGTCCGTTACATCATTTATTTGTTGACAATATTGTTGAACGCGAGTCGCTCATCTAGACTTGCTCGGGCTGTCTACAGTATTTTATTTTCTGTTCGATAACTTACCTGTGCCTGGTAGCATAACATCTTGGAAGTAGGGGAACTATCTACAGTTTAAGGTATCTGTTTTATTTGTATTCACAACTCAAATTGAGTAGATTACAATATTTTGTTGTCCTCATTTTAGTCAATGTTGGCTATATATATGCCCAGATCATCATGGAATAAAAATGGAAATGAGAGCAATGGTACATATCCAGTTTCGTGACTAGCTTCTTTCCCCCGTAAGAAATGTCATCTCCGATACAAGGAAACAGCACATATCTAAAATTGTTTTGCACAATATTTAATTGTATATAATTGTATAAATCATAAGAATTTTTTTTTTTTCTGCTATACATGTGTAAGGAGTATTGTTTCACACCCATGTCATATGTTATTCATATTATTATATCATATTTAAGTATATATATTTTCAATTTATCATACTTACGTATATTTTTCCATTTATCAAATTATTTTAATTAAGTATAGAATTTAATAATCAGCAATCAGTACCTACCACATAAATCATCATCATCATTTACATTTACATTGCAGCTGTCTTGCTCATTTCCTGACTTGAATACACAAGCAATTATTCTGTCACTTTTGTCTTGTTCATTTAACTGGGCATTGAATTTCAAGGGGAGCAACTGATTACCCATTAATTAGCAACCCATAAATGGAATGTTCGCCCATGTAATGACTTGTTAATTGTCAGAACAGGATGGAGGCAAGTTTTGGGTCGTTAACTCATTATATCTGTAGACTGCAGTGTTTAAGTGCTGACTACATTTCCCTGTCCTATCATATCTTTAACAGATGGTTTTGTTTTGTTTCTTAAAAATTACCAACATTTTCTAAGAATGTTTATATTTACAAAGTAATTTGTTATTTTCTTGCCACTCGGCATTGAGGTGATATAACAAGGACTGGCTGGTTGGTACACATGGTATCATGGTGGTGCATCATTTAAACTAAGAATCCAGGACAAAATCCACCCCAAAATTGCAACCTAGGACAAAATCCACCCCTAATAAATTCCACCCTAAGAAAAAAACAACTAATGACATGTTTAGTCACAGAAATGAATTTTATTCATATCAGTCATTCATAATCGATAACAAAAACAACCAAAATACATATGTAAGCACATTTTTGCCTATATAAATATGACAATTGCACATTTTCACATTTCACATTTATGAATCATTCATGCATCAATACATATATAAATATGACAACAGCATATATTTTCACACATTCAGACATATCTATGACTAAACATCTTGCCACATTTCAACAACGCAAACAGCGGCCGACGCTTGCAATGCTTGAGAAAAACAACTTGATCAGGACACACTAAAACTTTTAACAATAGCAATTTGAGAAGGGTGGATTTTGTCCGGGGTGGCAATTTTGGGGTGGATTTTGTCCGGTCACCTTAAACTACAGCATGGTGTCTTATTACTATAAAACCAGTTTGACAGTTTAAAGAAATATAACTGTAGACACACACAACTTTCAGTGCCATACATCAGCTTGACAGGTTAAAGAGCCTTTTGGTTTTAGATTTGTGAATGTCACTGAGTTTAAAGTGGGTATTTGTTATTAAACATCACTCTGAAACATTCTAGCTGACTGACAGTGTCTATAAATAATCTAGTATTTAACAATCCTCCCATATGCAAACATTGATATGCAATCAGCCAATCCTTACTCTCTCACCTAAGTGACTAACACACGTTCCTAGGCACTGCGATCACCACAGGTTTTTGAGTTTAAAACAAGGCAGGGACACAAGCATTTAGGGGCAGTGGGGTAGCCCAGAGGTTAAAGCGTCTGCTCATCACACCAAAGACCCAGGTTCGATTCCCCACATGGGTACAATGTGTCAAGCCCATTTCTGGTGTCCTTCCCCGTGATATTGTTGGAATATTGCTAAAAGCGGTGTAAAACTCACAAGCATTGATGGGATGCTGCTGTTATGTTCCATAAGAATGGTTAGAGTAACCAGTCCTTTTTGTGTACAAAGCTGTAAATACATGAAACACTTTATGGATAAGAAGGTTTTTCTATAGTTATTTTAGCTGTTATCCATATCATGTATTCATGATCGTCCAGCTTCTAAATGCCTTTCAAGAACTACAAAAATGTCGGATGATAGAGCATACAAAATATGTATATTTTTGTGTACCCCATTTTAATTATATTTTGTCTCCTTTCTGGTCATAAACTATGTATTTTATGTCAAAATAGATATTTTGAATCAAACACTGAAAGATATCGCACAGATGAGTCAACAAATGCATTGCAGTTTAAAGTTTGTGCATCGACGTACTGGAAAAGTCCTTTGTGTAGACCCCACACAGCTGAACTTGAAATGTGGAGATATTGATCTGTGTGCATTTGTAGTTGAGGAGATCTTCCTTAAAGCCAGTTCAGAAAGACGTTTCATGGAAGTTATATCATCAAAGTATTTATGTTTATATATGCGTGTCCTGAGGTTTCCTTGAGTGTTGGAGACTGAATCACCCAGGTCAGGTCATACATTTTACTACACACATGGAAGAAATGACACTTCAGGAAGAATATTAGGAAATGTCAACCACATGAGTGGTTCTGATCATGTCTGTTGCCAGGGACAATACCTAGAGGCATGACAATGCAACAGGAATGTCACAGCGTTAAGTCAATATACAGTTACTTTGTTCGTATTGATTTGTATTGCTATGGAACAATGTGTTAAAAAGTGTGGAAACGACCTGTATTGATTGAAATACTTACTGAAGAATCTTTCATCAACTCAATGCCTTCGTGTTTCGACCGCCTCCGTGGTGTAGTGGTTAGAGCGTCCGCCCGAGAGCGGAAGGTCGCGGGTTCGATCGCCGACCGCGTCATACCAAAAGACGTTAAAATATGGTACTTGTTGGTCCCTGCCTGGCGTTCGGCATTAATGGGTACAACAAGGACTGGTCGGCTCGGAGTCAGCATAATGTGTCTGAGTGGGGTATTCATGCTTCACTGCGGGATCATGGTATCTCAGTGGGCTAGCACTATAAAACCAGCTTAAGTCTGGGCTATTACAAGCAGCCGCACATACACATACACACGCATGCACATCGTCATAAGAGCGAAATATTCCCAAGCACGACATTAAACCCAATTCCACCACCACCACCTTCGTCTTTCCATCTTTCTTCAGCTCAGTACCTTCCTGTCTCCATATTTGTTTGTTGTTTATCAAATCACTCAGCAATATTCCAGCTATATGACGGCAGTCTGTGAATAATCAAGTCTGGACCAGACAATCTATAGTGATCAACATCACAAGCATCTACATATGCAATTGGGATACAATGAGTCATGTGTCTACCAAGTCAGCCAGCCTCGGACCAACCAATCCCGTTGGTCACCTCTTATGACAAGCATGTGTTGCTGAAGACCAATTCTAACCTGCATCTTCACTGGAATACTGTTCAAAGCAATATTGAACCAGACTGACTCATTCTAATTCCTAGAGTCAGGTCATTTGGGTAATCTTTTAAAGCCTTCATTTGATGGCTGATATTACCAAAGCTACTGATTGTGAATTTGTTAGGTGAATATGAACAATGAGGACTCCCTCCCTCCCTCCCTCCTCCCTCCCTCTCCTCCCTCCCTCTCTCTCTCTCTCTCTCTCTCTCTCTCTCTCTCTCTCTCTCTCTCTCTCTCTCTCTCTCTCTCTCTCTCTCTCTCTCTCTCTCTCTCTCTCTCTCACACACACACACACACACACACACACACACACAGAGTAAGACATACTTATAACCAACACCGCATGCCTCAATGTTCCATGACTAATTTAAAGGGTTGCCTTACTTATTCCTGTTGGGTCATTTGTGAACGTGGGGAAGCTTGGAGGTCATTCAGTAGTAGTGCCTATCAGTGTGCTCTCAGATGGCACTTCATGACATGCCGTCACAGAATGAGAAGTGCGTGTCAGGTTTTTTATCTATTTTGATGGCTGCTCTGTCAGATGTACCACTGTAAGACAGGTTTTTCACTTGTTTGGTGTGTTGTACAGCTTCAGTATGGTGTGTTGTACTGTTATAAGGCTTCATTGTGTTCTACTGTTGAACAGCTGTCTTGTTGTGCTGTTGTACAGCTTGTCTGTGTTGTACCATTGAACAGCTGTTTTGTTGTGTTGTTGTACAGCTTGTCTGTGTTGTACCGTTGAACAGCTGTTTTGTTGTGTTGTACAGCTTGTCTGTGTTGTACTGTTGAACAGCTGTTTTGTTGTGTTGTTGTACAGCTTGTCTGTGTTGTACTGTTGAACAGCTGTTTTGTTGTGTTGTTGTACAGCTTGTCTGTGTTGTACTGTTGAACAGCTGTTTTGTTGTGTTGTTGTACAGCTTGTCTGTGTTGTACTGTTGAACAGCTGTTTTGTTGTTTTGTACAGCTTGTCTATGTTGTATCGTTGAACAGCTGTTTTGTTGTGTTGTTGTACAGCTTGTCTGTGTTGTTCTGTTGAACAGCTGTTTTCTTGTATAGCTGTTATGTGTTGTACTCTTGTACAGCTGTATTGAATGAACATTTGTTATGTGTGGTCTGCTACTGTCAAATATATTTATGTAAGAATTTCATTTTTTTGTTATGTTGGTATGTTTACTGAAGATAATAACCTGCTTCACACAGGGCGTGTGCAATATGATATTCTCCATTGATCAGGGATGTCACTGAGACACTTTCCCAGGCACCAAATCTGCAACAGATGTCATTATGAATTCCAAAAATATAAATGTTAATATACATGACCTAAAATATTAGGCTTTGTAGAGACAGTGTACATTTTACCAGTAAATAGGAACATGGTTTTATGCTATTTCATCAAATACAATACCCCTTGCTTTGAATGAAGAAAATTAGATTTTTTTTTAATCCCAATTTCAAACAATAAAATATTTTCCCCATTTTGTCTGCAAGGGGCACTCAGATCCGAACTGTGGACAAATCCTGTTGTGTGTCATGCACAGCATATGCGTTGTATGTCACAGTGTTTAGTTAACATACATTTCAAGCCTTTTACAGACATTGAGAAATTGGAAAAATATTAAGACATGTCACTTTTGTTGTCAGCAAAATTTTTATTGTTTGTAATTTTTTTCAGAACTGCTTTTTGTCCCTTCCTCAGATAATTAATCAGTAAGTGTGTTACTGATAGGCAAGCACAGAATTACCATTGGTTGTTTGTTTGTTTGTTTGTTTGTTTGTTTGTCAGCTATATTCCAGCTATATGGTGTTGGTCTGTAAATAATCAAGTCTGGACCAGACAATCCAGTGATCAGGTAGATCAGCATACCACAATGTGTTTTTAAAACGTATTGCAATATTATTTCTGAGTACTGACATATTGGGTAATAAAATATATTGAGTTAACAAGTTCAGATCTACACAGACTTTCATACTGTTTATACTTGAAAATACCTGAGAAGGTCCAGGTTAGAATATTGATCTTCAGTAACCCATGCTTGTCGTAAGAGTCGACTAACGGCATCGGGTGGTCAGACTCGCTGACTTGAGTGACACATGTCATCAGTTCCTAACTGCGCAGATTGATGTTCATGCTGTTGATCACTGGATTGTCTGGTCCAGACTCGATTATTTAGAGACCGCCGCCATATAACTGGAATATTGCTGTGTGCGGTGTAAAACTAAACTCACTCACTATACTTGAAAATATGTTACATGTGTCATTGCTTAGCATTTTCTTATTCTTTATTTCAAGAATTTCTGTAAGAAATTAAATTCTCAAGTCTGAAATCGTGTTATGAAATGTTTACCATGTTCGCAAAATAATGAATTTATTAATCATTTACTTATTTAACAGTCCCCGAATGGACAGGATGTGATTCTTGTCCAGGGAGTGCTTGAAGTAGCAAGCTGTACAAAGATCCATTGAAACTGATATTTAAAGTAGGGTTGTTAGAACTCTTCAAGTGGCCCATCCTAGTGAATAAGATAGACCTATAGTTCTGGATGAAGGTTGTGAGATGATTTCGAACAGCTCTTAACATAATGAACCAGGATTTTGAAGAGGGTGCGTGGGCTGCACTCCAGAATACTTTGCTTTTGCCAGTACATCACATGATAGTTAGATCTTTCACCCAGATACTATACTCTCTCCTTTTAGACCTGAGAACGCTTTCAGAGTTTCTTCATGGTGAAGTTTTTCACCCGTTAATTAGCATCTAAGCTTCAGAATTCTTCTTTGGAGAGAACAAAGTATTCAGTCCAGCATATCTCAGCAAATGAGCTTCATAGATTGTACCCATATGGAGAATCGAACCCGGGGTCTTCGACGTGACGAGCGGATGCTTTAACCATTAGGCTACCCCAACCCCCACCCCCAACGGCTATGACATAATGTATGTTCTTAATGATTAACATAAGATCTGTGTAAATGTTCAAATAGATATTGATGAAAATTTTTTATTTTGAGTCCTTGGCACTTCAAAAAAAACCTATGAGCATTTTCTAAAATATGTAAATACAGATTCTTGTGCAGAAAACAAAGTAAACATACTTCACATCAAATATACCAGAATTAACTTTATGCCAAAATAGATAAAACTGATTGAACTTCAGAGTTATTATTTCAAGTGCTAGATTCATGTTAATAGTAAAAGTGCACTATGTCATCTCTATGTATCAATGACACAAAAAGTACAGGTGAAATTACTGTGCGATATTTATGAATGATAAAGATTGTGAGACAAGAAATAGTGTGTGATTTTTAACATACTGGAGAAGAACAAAGACCTGATTGTCAGTGATCTGTGAAGATATGAACACATCTGATGACAAACTATTTCCCTGCAGGCTAATCACAGCTGAATGAGCAGATACTGACTGTCCTCTGTTGGATGTTGATGACACTAAGTGCTCAATTAACACAGGTGGTCACTGAGGCTAGCAGGACATGATTGGTGCAATTTGTGTTGATCACAGTATTGCTTGTGACAGCTGACACCCTTGCCTGAGTGCAACTCGCGCACTGTGGCAGTTGCTTTTACAGGCTTGCTGAATCAGTATATATGAGAGTGGCCAAGACTGTACATACTGAATGCTAAGTTGTACAGAAATTTTATCCTTTAAAGAGGGAAGCCCAGATATGGGCACAATACATCTAAGAACCGCAGTCTGTTATTTATAAATGTTTTAGAAAATGTTTAAACTATAAATTACTACCTTAGAGACTTGTGCAAGTCTACTAAGGGGCTAACGTATCAACGGTCGACTGAAACAAGGGTATGTTCTGCACTTCCTGAATGAAAGCAATGGATTTTCACATGTTATGTGTAGATATTCCCTGGTAAGGTAAGATTGCCAACAAGAACATAATTTATTCTATTTGATAAAATGTGATAAAAACTGTTAATTCTGGATTTGTTGGTCAATATTGTCCATTATGCCATTTCTTGTCTCCCCCGCTGTATATTTCCAATGACCACAAATTCACCTATAGCCTTTTCATAGTTGTCATTGTTTAATTTCTTGTGTTTCCATGGAAACAATTTTTTGACCTGATTTTAACTAAACCATGTGTGTTTTCTGCCAAACCTCTCTGGCCATCAACTATTTCTGCATGAACCAATAAATTTGCCAGGCTATATTTTGCTATTTTTGCTCTTCAGAGTTTTGAATAATGTTACAATTGAGGGGTGAAACAGTATACCGCGATATTAGTAGAACCGCGGTATGTTGCCTTCGGTTTGGTATACCGTAATGCAATCCCAAAATTCGGTATTTTCGTACCGTCATTTGTTCAATCTTTTAAAAACGTTTCTAAAATGTCTAGAAATTGAATCATTTTGTCAAAATCTATGCATTTCTTTGCCAGAGGGCCGCTATTTTCTCGGAAAGTAAGTTCTCATATACCGAACCAAAGGTCTTGTACCGCAATACGTACCGTACCGTGGTAAGAGCGTACCGTTTCACCCCTATTACAACTTGAACTAATGTTGAAACAAATTGGGAGTTTGGAGTTTAGTTTTGCCAAAACATTTATCAAGTTGTATTTTCTATCCTCACTCGCTCGCTAACTCCCTCACTCACATTTAGTTCATGCAGTCTGTTCTGTAGCATATGTACCATATTTCATCATATCACAATTGTCAAAATCGCCCACAACATATAGAGTATAACACTGCTGTGTCAAACTTCGATGTTGTCTTGAAGTCAAAACTTGGTCTCTGCCTATTCATATTCTAGTCATCATGTTGGCGTTTTGTTCAACAGTGTTTGACTTTATGTATAAGTACTGAATGCTTCCAGGAGGGCATGACAAAAGTGGTTAAAGCGTTCGATCATCATTCAGAAGATGCTGGTATGATTCTCCACATAGGTACAATGTGTGAAGCCCATTTCTGGTGTCCCCCGCCGTGATATTGCTGGATCATTGCTAAAAGCGGTGTAAAACCCAACTCACTCACTCCAGGAGGGCAAGACATGGTTACCCTTTAATGAACACTTTGTGTCACCATTGATTTTCAGTATCCATTCAAATAATTTTCACCTTTGTTTACCTTTTGTGCCAATGGTATTTAGTTTGGATGATAATCTAGACTGGTAATGCTCTTGCTCTAACATTATTTTTTAACTAAAGAATCAAGAAAAGCATTACGATGAACAGAAATGTTATCATTGATCTTTTCATTGATTACAGAACATTTCACCTGCTCCAAGATGCACAAACGCATACGGAAGTTCTTCTCAAAGATTGACAACAGCGGCCAGATGGAACCTCTCATCCAGCGAGCTGTGAAGCTCCAGCATCTCCACGTCCCGGGACCGACACGGTTCCACCTCCGCTCTGCCCGCGACATCCACCGCGTCAAGCTCCTCGAGCACTATGACGCTGACTCATACTTCAGCTCTCAACTAATCAAAAGACTCCGAGTGATGCCCAGCAGGTTGCCTAGCAATGCTTTTCTGAAGTTGATGGAAGTCTTGGTGGCAATATTTGATGTCTATCTTAAGACAAAAGGTAAACGTAACAGAATTTCCCCTCTGTTTGCATGAATATGTTCAATGCCATGTCTAATTATGCAATCAAACCCTCAGATTCATGATTGAATGAAAGCACACCCACCAATTGAGTCCTTCAGATCCAATTCATCCCTCCCACCCCATTTCTGACACATGCACTCTTATTCCACTGCTGATGTGGGGGAGCCCAGTGGATAAATTCACTTGTCACACCTAAGATCTGGGTTTGATTCTCATTTGGGAGCATTGTGTGAAACCTTTGGCTATTGTCCCAATAATGATATTGCTGGAATATTGCCTAAAGGGGCATAAAATCATACTCCCTCGCTCATGCCCTGCTGACACTCAGCAGTAAGGGGACGAGGCAATAACTTGTTAGCTTGGAGTCGGCATATTGTGTCTGTATTTTGTATATGGTATCTCAGAGGGCTTGTCACTGATATTCAGACTGATGTAATGTCACTCACTCACTCACTATATCACTCACTCACTCACTCACATTCAGACGGATGTCATTCTAATGGTTTTCCAAATTGTAACTTTGGTTTAATTTTACCAAATCATTTATCAAGTTTGTATTTTTTCTCAGAGGACTTTTTCTCTAATGGTTTTCCAAATTGTAACTTTGGTTCAATGTTACCAAATCATTTATCAAGTTTGTATTTTGTATTTTTCAGAGGTCAAACATGGGAAGGCATTCACCAAGAGCAGTGTGGATAGACTGAAGACAATAAAGATGGACACCCTGAGGTGTGATGACAATAACAGAGCCATTGAATCTTACACAAGCTGCAGCCGGACACAACCATTGCCGAAGACTGGAGGTCTCTGTTCCAATCACATGTTCAAGAAAACCAGCTCCTTTGGTGTGCTGAAGTTCAAGTCCAGTTCTGAAAATATTGAGTGTTGTCAGTCAAGTCTGAAGAATACTAAAAACAAGCGTGGTCGACTTGTGTCAAAGGGAGATAAATCTCACAATACTCTGAAATCAGGAAAAGGCAACTGTGTACTTCCAAAACAAGAAGGCAAAGTTGATGAGGTAATTAGAGAAAAACTTGATCAAGAAACAGCAGATTGCATTAAAAGTAAAGAATACTCAAGAGGATGTAAAAGGCATTTACCTTCAACCAAGGGAGACCACTCTCATAAAAGTAAGAGAGCCAACATAGATACATGTACTTCTTCTGACAAAAGTGATTGTGCAAGAGCTCGGGTTTGGAAAAAGAAGAATTGATTGACATCATCAGGATCATGACTCTGAAACAAAATGGATTTGATTTATGTAGGCAACGGCAGTCTAAGACTGCAGAAGTGACTGTGATCTGGTAATTTGGTGCATCGCCTCTGTGTGATATATATGTGATGTGATACCTGTGTAAGGAAGACTGTGTTCATATATGATCTTGCAATTGAGTACAGTCAGATTTCTGGGTAAAAGTGGTTCTTGATGCCATGGGATCATTAGTGCCTTAGTGTTTCCCAGCTATGTCCACCAATCAGATGTTCTCACAAGTTGTATTTTCGGGGGTGTTAGGAATCCCACACAGAGCCTTTATTTTATAAAGAGGAAGAAAGATTCTTTAGAGAATATTATCTGTTCCCTTCCACACTGTTAAGCAAAGAGATATGCTTTCTTTGTTGTATTTATTATTTTAAAGCATCTTATATTATTTTATGCAAACCACCGATTTTGATTTTGAAAAAATGATGTGTAAAATACGTACCAGTACTATCAAAATGGTTTAAGTATCATGTAGAATATCAGTATTATGCAAGTATTGGCCACATCACTACATGTATTTGTTATCTATTTATGTATTTGTTAGTGGGTGGCTCATGAACAAAACCACTGTTGTGTTATATGTGGCGCCATACTGTTGCCATGACAACTACTGATGAAACTACAGTTAATAAGAACAGCATTGCAGCTATGGAAGTAGTAATAAGGCCAGACCAATATTTTTTTTTGTTTTCACGGTGGATCAGCCGAACAATGAAAATATATTTTTTTCAAAAATAATAATAGAAAAAAATAAAAATTAATTTTCCCTGCTCAAATAATAAAATTTTAATATTTTTATTGACCAAAAATGTATATGTGCAAGGAAATGTTTTTAGATTGTCTTTTTGCCCCATATACACTTCATAAATTGCCAAAAGTAAAATAGACTTCTGAAATTAATCCATGTTAATATCTACTTGGTAGGATTTCCAGTCTCACTATTCCAGTATATAAAATAACTGGAACCCAGCATCATGGTACCAGTTAACATTCTGAGATATAATGGGACATATATTTTTTCAGAGGTTAGAAAATGTTTTTTCTGAAATTCTGTGTAAGGGTTCAAAATACATATAAAATATTCATCTTTCCAAATGAAATCTCCAGCTATAAATGAAAAAAAGTTATACATTTGCAGGAAATATTTTCAGGATCTTTCAGGTTGTTATACTTCTTGCAAACAGCTTTATATTGTAAGAATGATCTTTAGACAAACCTGTGAAACACTCCAACACTTAATAAGTTAATACTTTTAAGTCTGTTATTCAGTACACCTGGGTATAGCAAGTATTGTCGTAAACTAAATATTCTAATGATGCTAATTATATATACAGGGATTCTTCTCTGTTAAATGATATTGTCATGGTTGTTTAAAACTGTATCTATTAAGTTTTATATTTAACTGAAATTTAATTTAATTTAAATTTCTTTTAAGATTTTGTATATTTTATTAACACAGGCATACTCATAATGGCAGTGTTTAGTGTGCTGATACACAGCTAATGAATTTATGATAGAGAAACTATGGCAACGTATATTCAGTGAGGCTGAGCTGATGATAAAGATCTGGATGTCCGTATCAAAGGTCATGGGAGTGGTGACATCATACTTCCTTTGTGGTGATGGAAGTCTCATGATAAAGACACAAATAACCACCAACCCACTTCTGTACATCTCCAGATCGCCTAGATTATGTTCCAAGGTCACCATCATGCTTGTGTTGGTGGGTTTTCCCAAACATGTCTTCAGCATGGTGATAAGATTTATTTAGGCATTAAACTGACTCGCCATGTTCTAAATCAAATGCTGCTTAAAATTGTGTAAAAATGCCACACACTCACCGACAATGGCCTTAAATGTGTACAACAACATGTTGCACATCCCCTCCATTTTGAAGTTAATGTTTGAGATGTTACGCTTTTGTAATAAATTTTCAGACTTCTTATACAGGATATTTATTTGATTACTGTTCATTTTAGATTTAATGTTAACTTTCCATGTCTTAATCTTTTGTTATTTATTGCACAATTTTTTCACAAGTTTATGGGTTTAAGACAATGTATAATTTTTCTGTGTTTGTTGATTATTCTGTACTCATTACAAGAACATATGAGGTACTATGATTTTTTGTACATATTACACTTATCTAAACTTACACTACACTTACAGATGTTTAAGGCCGCATCTCGTAAATATCGGTGTTAGAACCTCTTTTTATTGTAAGAATCGACGAACAGGATCGAGTGGAAAGACTTGCTGACTTAGTTTCTGCATGTCATCATGCCCCAATTACATGTACATAGATTGATGTTCATGATATCAATCACTGGATTGCCTGACCACACGATTATTTACAGACTGTTGTGATATAATTTGAATATTGCCTAGTGCTGTGTTAAATAGAAACAAACCATTCCAGGCCACAAAATTAACTACAAGTGTGGATCTTATGGACAAAATGAAAGATGAATAATATACATTGTATTGGTTGTAAAACTATGTGTTAACCTTTCGGAAGAAAAACAACTTTAAACTGAAATAATGAAGTAGGCAGTGTTTTGTTGTGGCAATATTATTCTATGATAATAATTTTAAAAATGTGAGGCATCTGTCATATGGGAGCATTTTATAGTTAATATCTTGATCCTGCAAGTGCCAGAGTGCTACTAGTAATTAATGTGCATATACTGTATATTAAATGGGTAAAAGCCTGGCACTGGTATATGAAACCTGTTTCAATACAATATTGCAATCAGATTGTTTCCTGTGACAGGATACCTGTCTGAATACAGCTATATGAAAACCATCTATCAGCACTTAAGCCTGGTAGTTGTAATAATTTAATTCAGCTAATTAGTGCTATGTTAGTGATGGAAGGTAGCTAAGGTAAGATAACACCACGTGTTCTTTTCTGATATATATGTGCCATATTTATCCTTAGCAACATATACCATGTAAACATGATTACACAGTGCCATATAGAAAGTGGTCAGATACTAAGAAAGTGTAAACCCAAATATAACATATGTTACACCATGTAAACATTTCTTCGAATGTGTCTCACAATTTATTATATATCCATGTAAACTTTGTAGTAAGACAGTGGTGCAATACGGATGACTTGGTGAAATTCCGTATTGCACCCCTGATTCCGTACTGAACCCCTGCCAGTTCTACTTTCTCCAAAGCTCGGCACTTCCAGATTAATGCAAGATGAGAGGGTATATAATAAATACAGAATATCATACTAGTGCATTTGGATGTTTTGTATTGAACTCGAAGATGTCATGGGAGCAGAGAAACATGACATCTGCTCCCATGACAATACAAAACATCCAAATGCACTAGGATGATGTTCTATATATTTATGTCCATGGCTGAGATTGAGTTGTGTTCAAAACGCTAGCCCACCTAACCCCCATATTCAGCTGAGGTGTCTTCCCCAACCACACCCACCTTATTCAGCAAAGAGATTTCATTGTTATGATTATTGTGTCTCCCACACATTCACACAGACCATAGCTCAAGGAATTCTTTGTGAAAATTAACCATGTTTTTTTATGTTTTTACCCATTGGGGTAACTTTTGAGTTCATTTCAAGAGCACTGTATTGGAGTGATAATATATTTTTCTCCACATTTACAACACTGATGTTTCAGCTCCAAGCATTCCAAACCAAGAAATCCAGTAGATTCTTCTACTAGGAAAAACCACCAATGTTCATGTATGTACAGATCTGTTTTCCTGTTTCAAAAGCTGGTCACATCTCACCAGAGGGTAACTATGGTAACATGAGTTTGGTGTAAACATACATTCTCTGGTTGTTGTAGGTGCTACTTTCATTATAATCAATGACATTACAGTGATAAAGCACATATAATTTGTAACCATTATCTTTTTTTACTTCTCAAATGTGTCTTTCTGTTTTTGCCAACTGGGCACCAACCTGTACACCCTGTTTGTAATGGACTGTCCTTTTGGTCTGCATTTGTTGATATATCTCCACAAGCCATTCTGTGAAATTTGGAGAGAAATAAAATACATATTTTGCATATTCTTGGTTTTTAACTTTTTCACGTCACCAAAGCAGCGGTGGGCTAGTCCAGTGGTTAAAGCCGAAGGCTAGGTTCAATACCTTATATGGATGTAATGTTTGAAGCCCAAATCTGGTGCACCCAGACCTGATATTTCTGGAAAATCTGTGTAAAAATAAACTCACTCACAAAACCCCATTAAGGGTGAAAATGTGTGCAATTCTGGAGACCAAATAGATGTGGTTTCTCAAAATCATGAATGATTCATCTTTGATTTAAAACCGGTTGTAATCAGCTACCTGTATGCAGGGGCCCGTTTAAGGTGCAACATGTCCTTTCAGTTATGGTAATATTATAACCCTTAACTGAATGGCTAATTTAATAACTCTGGTTTGGATTGACCGATTTTCATCAAACTAGTAGTTTTTGAATGCTCAAATCATGATTTATAAACATTTGTAATTTTTTTTAAAGTGTCCATGGCTTAAAACTTGTGCATCATTCTGGATATCACATGTGCTGAATCCTTTGAGATCAAGGCTCCTACCGATGAGGGCCCGGCTAAGCAAAATGTTGTCATGGAAGTGGGCAGGTTTCCATTAGGTCACCAGCTTGATCACTTCGCTTCAACCCATTGTCAGCTCTTTAGACAAATGTGAGTGGGAGAAAAAGGCTACAGATGTTACAAGCTTAAATGTTGTCATTCACATTGGGGTTTGATAGTTGTTTAGGTTACGCAATATGTTATTCCTCTCTTCTGGTTTATTGGGTGTAACCTGACGACAAACATTACTATTAACTTGCCACATGTTTCGCAGCGGTGCATTATACAATGTAGTTCTTGATTCATGATTCCTGCATTCTATCAATAACAAAATATCTGTAAAAATACATGTACTCGAACCCTGCTTTAAGCTGCATTACCCACTGGTACTTACGCACAGTGTTGTCATACTTTCCAAGTTCTTTGAGGTTTGTTTGTTTTCAAATATTTAGTATTTTAAGCAACGCTGCAGGTTACCTGGAGGTCTGGAGACGTAACGCCATAACGCCTTGAACAGATACCTCCAATCGTTTCTCTATTTCCACTAGGGGTGTAACGATTCATCGATAGTATCGATGTTTGCATCGACAACTACGCGACACGAGTGCATCGATACAAAACACATCTAGGAATTTATCAGGATATTTATATCGCAAGGGTCCACGATACATCGATGTATCGCCACAAGAGACGATGTATCCCGATACAACTTCAATACTACTTAAAGTTGTAAGGAGTATTGCATTAGGAATAAGTAGGGAGTCTCTTTGAATTCTTCTAAATTTTAAAAACAAATTGAACCTTTCAGGAATTTGTTTGTGTCTGTTATCTTTGTTACATGGACAAGGGAGTTGGTGTATAAGTGATGGAGTGTGAATATTTTTCAAACTCTGTGAACTGTAGAATACTTGTCTTTAAGTAGTTGAAAATATTGTTTGACAAATAACACCATTTATTAACAACTATGAACGATGTCTTAGCTTTGTTAAGAAAGAGAACAAAGAGAAGATAATATTTAGAAAGCATACGTAAGAGCTTTTTTCAGTGATTCTGAATTCTGATATAAATTACATTCAATTGTTTGTGAAAGCATCGGTGCAGAACCTTCCCAAAGGAAACTCCGGTTTCAAACTTATATATGTTAGATCAAAGTATACTGAATATGTTTGACTGTACTTTAAAAGCATTAAAGGCTGAAACTTTATTAAATGAACAGCTTTTTAAGTGTCTGTGAATGTAACACAAGATCTGTTGTATAACAAACAAAGATTCAGTCATTTTATCTATCATATATGTTCTGCTATTAGAAATTATAAAGTATCGGGATACGTATCGTATCGCCACCATTGTATCGTGATGATGATTGTCTTGCAGGTTCCTTGCCAATACTTTCATGATAGATCGTCTCACCTCATTAAACTGTCATCGGGATATATCGTCTCGTCACTTAGACAACGATACACAACTCTAATTTCCACTACCCCATGGGTAATTGGAGAATATAATAATCATGCTATTTGAAAGATCGCACAAGCACATCATACAAACACTGTACTTAGAT